ACTGAGAAAGTGAGGGTTTGTCTAAGTGTATGAGATAAATGTTTTTCAAAGTGATCTGTTTTTTTCCTTACTTGGTAAGACATTGTTGCATTAGAATATATTACCAAGAAAAGTTGTGTATGATTTTAAGAACAAGTAAGGAAAGCAGTTGTTAGTTGTGACAGGAACATGATGTTATCATGGCACAGGGGGAAGGACTAGATGACTTTGAGGTGATTTTTTTTATCCTTTGAGGGCAAAAAGGAGATGGGTACTGTGGTACAGCACGATGTGTAAAATCCAGGGAGAGCACAGTACTGAGAATTCATTTTCTTGGTACCACTACTCTTATATTACAACTCACAAGGAGGATCCAGAATATATCAAAACATTATGCCTCTTTCTCTGTTTTTTTTTTTTTTTTTTTTCCCTTTTCACCCGGAGGAGATGAGGGACACTTGTAACTTCACAGTGCTGTGGCTGTTGAAAACTAGCTAGAACTCCCTGTTAGAGGTAGCGATCTCTAAAAAATGACTGTGAGCATGGCCATACCCAGACTGGCTCTGCAGGAGCAAATCCTAGAACAGGGAGTGCAAGGAAATGTGGTGTGAAGATGGCTGGATTAGCTTTGGAAACAATTTTGTCATATTTGTGTGGTGTTGCATCCAAGCCTCTGGGGTTTTACTGCTTCCAGACCTGTGCAAGTCTGCTCTCTGCCACACAGACTTAATCAGCTTGTACAAGTGAAAATTTGGAAAACTCTTTCATATAATCTGCTGTATGTTGTAAACAACCCTCTATTGTGCTGCCCTTGTAGCCTGTGTTTACTTGAATAAACTAATTCTTCTTTAATTATTTGTCCAGTAACAGCCCAAAACAGAAAGAGGCTCTTCATAGTTCTTGTCCAAATGATAGGGATAACAACAGTGACATTAAACAAAGGTTTTAATTTCAGCTGCATGTTATTGGACAAAACTGTGAATAGCAGAAGGAAAGCAAAGATTTGAGGAAGTCCTGCAGTGTCAACTGATCTTTAAATCAAAAGAAAATAGGCAGATTTTTATGTAAAATTAGCAGTTTAGAAGATTTCTGGTTTGTTATTCACAGAGGGAGATTTCCCAGGAGGTATCACCTCTATGATGTGTTTGTTATCTTAATTAATGCACATATGAAACTGGAACGTACTTACCTCGTAATGTTTTAAAGTCCATCTGCTTTTTTGAATGGCATCTGTTGGTATTGGGAGTTTGTATTGATTCATATATCTGTGTACTGTGGTTTCTAGGATTATTTTCTTGGGCTCTCACATGAAGGGGAAAGATAAGGAAAGCAATTTGAATTTCCCAAACCACAAAGCTATGCATCTTTCATAATATCCAGCTTGGGTAGTGGTGTAGGTTAAGATGCATGGGATGCGATACAGTCTCCAAGGACAACTTTCCTCTCAAATAACATGCAGTATAACCCTGAGCTCAAAATTAATTGTGTTTAAAAAAAAAAAAAAGAGGAGAGAGAATGTATAAATCCTTGAAAAGGGTTTTGCCATTCTGAGAATGTCCTGGTGACCTGCCTGTTAAAAGAAAGTTTTACAGTCTGCTCTGCTGTGAACAGAAGAAACATTGAAAACTGCTGTCTGTTATGATTTGATGATCTCAAGATACAAAGTAGAGCATCCCAATTCATGAAGGGTATTACTAAGAATTGATTATGTTCTAAAGCTTTTTAATATGCATGCCTCACCACACCCATTTTAGGACAGAATTTCAGGCTATCCAAGCAATGTGAGCTGAAATATAATATTTTTTCTTATATTCCTATAATTATGAATCATATGACTTGTATGAATACTGTGATCCATAAAATACATAAAATTCATATCAATCATATGAGACAGAAAATATTAGATAAAATATAACATTTTTGTGTCTGATTCAAAGTTTTTAAGCAGTTCTTCTACCATTTCATGGTTTCCTCACCTGTCTCAGTTTTCAGAAATGAGAAGGCAGAAGTTTTTTTATCTCTTCTCTCTCTCTGTTTTCCCTCCTTACCTTCTAGGATACAGAATGCAAGCATGTATTTTTTTTTTTACCTGGTGCCTGGTGTTGCCCGCTTTTAAAAAGTGGTGTATTTGATGCAAAAGCAAAATATTTGCTCTTCCAAGAATGTTACATAAGGCAAGACTGTGCTTGGCAGTAATGGTTTGTCAGTGCCTACAAAGAGATCCCAGTGTCAGTGCTCTCTGGAGATAAGGATGTATTATTTCCTATCTGGCAATACTGAACTGATGATACTGTGTGATTAATATGACTCTCCTGGGCCACAACTACAGGAAGCTTGCCGTTCAATTATCACCATGCTGCTTTTATTTAATTACAGCTTTAAAAAATAATATTAAAAAGGATGATTCAAAATTGGAACTTTCTAAATTACTCAAATGTTTGTTTTTTCATAGTCTTCTTTTGCACTCTAACCTAAGGGGTGTCTGTGTAGGTTTGGTTTTATGTGGGTTTTTGGTTTGTTTGGTTTTTTTTTTTTCCCAAATTATTTGGGAAGCTAAAAGCACTTAGGTTCTGGACATTTTCCATAGCTTGGTGGTAAGGTTTCAGATTCAGATTTTTTTACATATGTTTGATCAGGGAATTTTTCTATGTTCTGAATGCCTTCTCTCTAAAACTTGAACATTAACTGCATATCATAGAGAAATTTTTTGTAGCCTACAAAAGAACAGACCTTTTCTTTACTGCCTCTGATTTTCTTTACTGCCACTATAGTAGTAACAAAGATTCATTGAGTGAGTCTTGCAGGACTTTGAAGCTGAAACACTGAATAAATTTGGATAATATAGTACCACTATAATATTTTATTAAGCATATATTTGAAAACATGCACTAGCCTTATCAGAAATGGGATTGTCCCTCATGTGACTTTTCTTCATTTGCTCTGGTTTCAGTCTCTTGTACTAATTTTCAATCTCAGGCTTGTGGTTCTAGATAAAAGATGATATTTAGATGGAAGCATGCTGGAATTTTTAAAACAAATGTGCTGAGAGGTTTTTTCCCCTCCCCCAATGCCCTCTTCATTATGATCACTTGAAGCCCCTCCACAGGTGCTTATGGCATGCTCCTTTCCCACATCTACTGGAAAGAATGATTTCTAGAGAGGCTGTGGGTTACCTTTAGGACTTTAGTTTGGACTCTGGGTAGGGGCAATTTCTCTTTTAAGTATATTTTTTCTGTTCCTCTTTTCTGTTCCCTCTGATGGATTATTTCATGTGTAGTAAAAGGAAATAAAAATACCAGGCTGATAAACTTGTAAACCTCAAACATGAGGATGTAATTTAGACGACACCTATTTTGTTATGTATATGACAATAGTTTTTAAGCTGTGCTGCAAATTAAAGAATAAAATCCCAGGGAGAAAATAATTGTTTAAGCTAAAAGACAGTCCGGTCAAGAACATAATTATAGGCTCCACTTGAAAAATTACCCTGATAAATGGTACAGAAAAACAAAAATAGAGAGAATGTATTTAACAAATTAAACTTGGAACCTTATTTTTATGACCAGATGCAATGGATATATAAAGCAGACAGGAGGAAAGTTAGTATTAATTACAAATTACGGAGAAATCTCCTTTCTTTAGGGCCCTCACTTGCAATTTTTTTGAGTAACAAGAAAATATATTAAAAATAGCATGGTTTAGTGAGGTAGAATTTTATGAACAGTATTTTACTACAGGAAACATATTAGAGATGATCTGGAAGACAGAGAGATTGTCCTGTTACCATTTCACTGGGAAACTGGCTAATTTTTGGGACAAATGTCTTTGTTGTAGTTGAGGAGGAAAATGATGCTGAAAGTCTCTTATGAAATTTCTGGTTACATCTGTGGAGGAACTTGATATAATCATCCCTGAAATTCAGGAGCATGAAATGTGAAAGAATCTCTGGGGTCATCTAGTCTAGCATATACTGAAACTATGTTATATTTGCAATATAAAAACAGTGTCTTCCCATACGCCCTTAGTTTTTGGCTGTTTTGTCCATGCTCTCCTGATGGGAAAGCTGTTTAGGAACCTCTTTTAAACTATGAGTTCTTGGTCAAAAATTATGTTTATTAAATTTTTTTTTTGTCTTGATGTATATACTTTTTAAACTTTTGCAGGCTTTCTTTCAGCAAATTGAAAGCTTTCAGAGTTTTGCCTGCTTGCTTATAAGACACAGAAAAATGACAGTCTCCTTATTTTGAGTTAATTTGTGTAGTCTGGAGGAATTTCTGTCAGACAGGTTAGCAGGATGTCTGTAAAATCAATTTGGAATGCTAAGCACTGTGTAAATGAATAGACATTCTTTTCATACTTGCATTTTTCTGTATGTGTGCAGTCTTGTTACATGTCAAATATAAATTTAATATGAATTACTTCAGTGTTGACAGAAAGGTGTGGGTTTCTCTTTCTCCCTTGCATGTGTTTAGCTTGTTTAACAAGATGCTGTTATGACGCATTTCTTGTCTGAAAAGTGAGTTTTGTAATCAGTTTTTTGGCAGTGTAGCCAGCTTTAGAATTCAGTGTAATGCCACTTTTTTCTACTTCTGTGTTTTATGTTTTTTCCCCAGCGGTTACTTTTTAGCCAGAACAGTTTCTTAATTGCTTCAAACTTATTCAGTGTGTTATGCACGATTGTTTTTGAGTTGCAGCAGTGAACAGAAGGCAGCAAGGAAGGCAAATATGGATTGTTTCTGCTGTGGTGTGGGCTCTTAGTGGCTGATGCCCTCGGTCTTTTCAAGGGCTTCTCACTAAGGTATTGCTGAAAGGCCTGGAAACTCTGACCTTGTTTGTGTGGGTGTGTCTCTTGCTGTGACATAAGCTCTCTTACACCTACTCCTGCATATTGGAGAGTTTATTATCTTGTTCTCTTTAAGATGGAGCTTTTTTTCCTTTTCAGTTTTTAAGCTGTCAGATTTCTGTTAATAGAGAATGATAATTTTTACTTTTCTACTTTCTCTGCCTTTCCTTTTCTCTAGTGGAAAGCTGAATGCTGCTGAAAGCTGAAGAAACTAAGTCTAGATTCTTGACCAAATGGAAGAGCTGCCAGAGCCAATTTTTCCTTGCTGACCTGTTGACATTGCTTTAATTGCAGGTAAGATACGTGTGTGTCTGTGTGTGTGTAATAGGTAGTTCAGAGAAGTCTGTTTGCTGAGCCATGAACTTTGCAGTGCTGGGTGTCACAATCAATTTTTGTGGTATGGACAATGAAAAGTGAGTTTGGGACTTCAGTCTTATTTCAGATGTCTGATGGAGTCTCCAGTAGCATTCAGCTACATTTAGACACGATGGGCTCTGGAGCATCCTGCCAGTGTTTTGTGTTTCACTTTTGTTTGTGTTCACACTTGTACAGTGTAACTGTTGCGCAGTATTCCTGTGGCAATCACAGAAATTGCTTACATGCGAAAAGAATACACAGCAATTATCAAAGGTGCTTTAGCTGTCTTTTAGTGCTCTGTAACCTCTGGAGAACAATAAATATACTGTTATATATTATATATCTACATACCCTGTATGTCAAAAGTAGGTTACCAGTGGCATTTGATGAGAATCCAGCAGCCTGTACACCAGGATTTTCTTGAGTTGCCAAGACTCCCCTTTTTTTTGTTTGTTTGTTTCAGAATATCTCCACATTATTTGGCTTATGGGATAGGAAGTAATTTAAATGCTTGTCATCTGAAGAATGTATGTTTTTTACTCCTGTTTCTAACAGGTACAATGTAGGATACAAAAAGGGTTGATGGAAGAAACGCTAGTATTCTCTATCTGAGCTTAAAAATTGAACAGAAACTTTAGAAAAGTTTTACAACAAAAGTTGAATAAGGGGCAGAGGTCCTAGGCTTTGGCTTGTCATTGGATCATCTTACTTTATCTTACTCTGCAGTGGAACTAGTTAGCTGACAGATGAAAATTCAGATAAGTCTTTCCCCACCCTGATCTACAAGCATGAATATAATTTGGTTCTTGATGCAGCATTATACATGTGTTTTGTTTTATTAGATGAGCTGTTTTACAACGTGAAAAGGGCTGAACACTTATGAGTCACCTCCCCAAGAGATGCTTATTCTCAGTTTGGAAAAAGGGCTGATGAAAGAGCATGAAAGGGGGTGTGGTTTTCATAGCCTGAATGTTTCATAGAAGAGTTGTCATCATTTGGGGAGGAGATGTGGGTGTTAATTGCAATATTGTCATAAGGAAGCTGTGTACAGAAGAGAAGCCCAAGCTAACTAGGGAGGGAGCCTGATATGTGGGTGTGAAATGAGACTGGGATTAGTACAGACAAGCTTAAAATCACAGGAAACCTGACAATGTGTTTGGTTTCCCAAGATGTGTTTGTTGTATCAGGTGGAGTATTTATATCAATCAAACAACTTTAGAAAGGGAAAGAAATACGAAATGATACTTTATAATACCACTAGTTCCTGGTTTTTATATAACCAGATTTTCTTTCAAATTGATTAGAAAAAGTACAAATAGCTGGTAGATTATAATTAATATTAGTCTTCTGGTAAACACTTGTGCTTTCTTTGTTATTTTTGAACCACCAAACACTTGCTTTATGAAAATGAGCACCATCTCTCAGCAGCCTTTCATACAGCATGTGTCTGGTCTTATCCTTCCCTGCGGTGCTTCCACCTCTTTTTTGATGCAGTTTGTTGCAATTCTTGATAGTGATGGGAGGCTGTTTAGTCAAGGGGGAAGCAAGGATCTTGTTCTTCTCATCCTAACCTGTGCTGCTCTGTAAAGGTTAGGGAGGCGTCTGGTTTCTCTGTAATAGCTTGTAAAAGGTTCCAAAGTATCATATCGAAGTATTTTTAGGAAACGGAGGGGTTGTAGATAGTCTTATGCTTGCCAAATGTTCAGTATGTTACTGTTTCCACTCTCTGAATGAATTGGCAACTCTGACAATGTTACAAACCTGTTTTATTAAACTCAGATCATTAGAATATTTCAGAGTATCAAGCCTTGTGTAAAAGCTCACATAGCAGGGTGTTTGGAAGGACTACGTATTCCCAAGACTAATGGCACCTTTCCCAAAATTTAGAGTGTAAGCTTTTACATGTACTGACCTACAGCTAATCCATGATTCTGTGGCTCTATGGAAGTAGCTTTGGTTGCCAAAGTGACTATTTGTCACAGTTGCTGTAGGTAAGAGTTCTTGAGATGGTTTGTAACATTAGAATATCTTGCACAATAAAGACAGGTGTATTTCCTTCTCCAGAGAGAAAACTAAAGAACAATTCTTCATTTAAACTAGAGTCTGGTCTTATTCTATAACTTTATTTCTAGTAGTGTAAAGCTTTCAGTTGGCTGTTTCTTCTTTCCCTGACTTAAAATCTAGTTATGTTCATGGGAAGGCAGTACAGTCATTGATGGCAGGAAGTAACATGAACCAACACAATAATGTGGAGTCTTTCTATAGTTCTCATGTCTTCCTGTTCTCTGTGTAACTCCTTAGTTTTACTAGTATGTTTGAATTCCTGTTGGTTTAGCTAACAGCAGTAATGAAAGGAACCCCTAATTCCTTAACACAAGAGTTTTAGTATCTAGTCTAAGATTGTTAAGTATCTGTGATTACCAAATCTAGTCTCAACTGGTATTAAATCCTTAGAGTTTTTTATTGGAAAATATTAATGCATCTGGAACAAATGTGTTCCCATATATTTTGTTTTCAATAAAAAATTTCAAAGTAAGACTTTAATGGATTCAAGTTGGAATGTCAGAATGACAAAAGATGCAAAGTCAAAAAATTCCTTTAGTTTATATGCAGTACCTTAGGATCATGCTTCCTTTCAGCTGTATTCTTCCTGTGTTGTGGTCTGGGGTTGTTTGATTTTGTGTTAGTGGCTTTTGTTGCTTTTTTTTCCTCCTGATGTCAGTTTGTAGAGTTTTGAGTTTGTTGTCATTATAAAAATTGTGAAAACTCAGACTTGTGAGGAGGAAAATGTCTTCTTCATTCAGCAGGGAGTTTGATCTTAGGAGCAAGCCAATAAAGTCTTGGTTACTGACAGTTATCTGAAATTAATATTTTAGAGAAAGATCCCATTTTACTGAGGTAGGTAATTTTTAAACTGCCTTGAATTTCACAAAATGTTAATAGAAAATAGCTATTACATGATTTTATTCTTTCATAGGATTCCTTGGTCCAGTTGCAGGCTACTTTGCATGGCCTTTTTGGGGAATCAGTGATGTTCTATAAATAATTTAAGTGGTTCTGATTTCTAATCTTTCCTCACTATACACTAGCATACAAATTTGCTCTCCCTGTGATGCCGAGGGAGAGGTCTGTAAAGAACACCTGACAATTCACAGAATATAAAGATGTATACATGGCTTTCATAATGCATAAGGTGTTTTTTTTCTTTCTCAGCTCAAGATAAACAAGGAAAGAACTTGTGTATGTATGACACAATGTGAGCTATTCATTGTAAAGGTCCAGGGTATGTCATAAAGAATGTTTTGTCTAACCATCTTGATTTACTTGTCATTGCTTGTGTCTTGAGTTTAATTAGGTGTGTATTTTGCCCTGAAGAACTAAGCACAGTGCAGGGAAGTTAGAAATGTGTAATGGTAGATAGAGGCCACTGACATGAGGAAATGGGAAAGTATGACTGGTTTTCTGATCATAGGGACAAGTGTTTTTCTTAACTTTGGTCTCATGGAAATAACATGGTAAGTAGGTATTGTTCCAAAACTGGCTACACCTTAGCACTAAATCTGGGTAAATTGTCCTTGGTAGTGGCTCTATAAAACCTAAGGGAATATGTAAGCATTCTGAATAAAGGAGATTTGGTTAATGTGATGTTAGAAATTCAGAGATTTTATGGTAGACATAAGGAAGCCGCAAAAAGCAAACCAGGAAAAAAAGTGATAATGTTTTTCATAGTAAAACTGATTATTATCAACATAGTGTTAATGGCCATCATTGTGGTGACAGCTATCTTAGAAGGAGAAAGATTAATACAAAAAAAGAATGTACAACAAAATCTTGAAAGATCAAACTCTCATGTGTTTACACGTTTTCCTGTGCATCATTGTTCTTTAGATCCCAATATTTTCTAAGAAAAAGAGGATTTTCAGGTAAAGCTGGTAGGGATTAGTTAAATAATTTTAAAGTATGCATTATTATTTCAAAATATAAACTTGGAATAAACAAAAGAGAAGAAGAGTTAGATTAGGCCTGCAAGAATGGATTGAATTGGAAGACTAAGTGTTCATTAGATTTTGATTTGGTTTTGCAGTGCTAGAATCTGTTTGGTTGAACACATATCTTACAAACCTCTCTGTAGCTCTTGTTAGACAAGCTGCTTGTTCATGAGCCAAGCAGTGGAGATGTTCAATGTATTTGTTGTGTACAGAGCAGTGGGGATCATTGAGTATTTTGAAGTTGAACTGTCCTCGGAGTAGGAATTGATGGGACAGAAGAGGGCAGGACAACATGTGCCAAGTGTATGGCAGTGTTCCTGGCCATGTGCAGTCTATGGTATTACTTAGTAGTCTTTCCATTCCATAAATTCAGTGGGTTTTGTCTTTTGCTTTCAAAATTGTTTAAAAAATCATCACTGCTTTTGGTAGCTCTTATGGCCGTAACAATGAGTTCCATAATTTGTCACAAATTATTACTTGCTCAGGAACAGAGATGGGAAGAAGAGCTATGCAGTGGGAGGAGAATACAAGATCCAAGTTCTGGATGTCTAAATCATGTATTACATACTAATTTGAATTTTTTTAAGGACTCTGCCTATTGTATGCTTCAGAGCTATGAAAGTGTATTGTCATTTAACTTTCTGGAGTCACAGCCATTTTTTAAAACTCTGGTTTGCTTCAAGTAGAATTGGATTAATGAAAAACTTTTCTGTCACCTACTGCAAGTGTAGTGTTGGACTTTTTGAAGCAGTGTTTGTGGCCTTTGTTTCATATTAAATTCAATGTTGCGAAATGCGCATTGAGTACTTCTGTTGAAAGTCTTTTAAAACAAGGATTTGTACACTGTAAGTATAACATTATTGAAAAAGAAATTTGGAAAAACCTTTTTGCTATCCAGATTAGATAAAGGAAATTTTCTGGCAGTGCTTGAGATTTAAAGTAAAGAAA